GTATATATGTGTGAATTTTGAGACTTCTTGCTAGTACTTTTATTAGAAAAAAAAATGATAAATAATTTTTACTAAAATTTCGCTAATTGATGATATTTAAAAGCAATTCGCAAAATTTTGAGTTTTGAAATACTTAAATTTATATTTTTACAAAATAGATTTAATCTCTAAGTTTTTTTTAAAAAAAAATTTAATTGGTTTGGCTAAAAATTGACCGACTTTACTTTTTTTGGAAGTGGAGATTTGATTTTGCCGATCACTAGGTCCGATTCATTCGTGGATCGGCAATTAATTTACAAAAAGATGAAATTCTTTCATTAGTTAAACTTTTTTTTTCTTTTATGCAAAAATTAACAAATTATTCTTTTATGGATAACTGTTTAATACAAACTGAAATTCTTGGTTAGTGTGGTTGTCTAGTTAAAATTGATAAATTTAAGTAAGATGCAAATGCACAATAAATTTTTAAATTTAAATTTTTTTTTTCAGTTTGATCTGTAAAGTTAGACAGACATTCAAAATTTTACGTATATTATCTTTCGTTCATCTACAAATCACAATATTAAACTTAACCACTTTTTTAATATAATTTTCAAAATTTTATTTGATAAATCGGTATAATACAGTATTTTCAATTGTTCAATCAAGATCTTTGTCAATTTATTCTTATTATACTATACTAAGCCTGTAAATTGAAATATTCGAATTATTTCCCCATTTCCTAAAAGTTAACATGATGGTTGACTTGCAAAGACAACGCATGTGTTCCTGTTATTTTTCCCGTATTTATAGTATAATAACGACTGCTCAACCATGTCTTGATGAGGCATCAAGATTATTTGACAAGTACATTTTTTGCTATCTCTCGGTAAATATCCTAATGACATAAAGATAATATTTAGCAAAAAATATTTTCATCTGGTTCTTAATTTTTTGTCATACTGTGATAATAATAAATATACCACTCCCTAAATGATATATTAGAATATTTGAGGGATTTTTCAGTTATAAGAGATACTATATAAAAGGGGATATCACGTAATCCTATAGCTCCTTAGGTGTTACTCAAAAATCTATTATATCAAAAATAATTCTATTCATCGTATAAGGAAATAAAACATTTCCTAAGCGTTGACTAATTGATTGATTAAAATGTTAAAAAAATATTATAAATCATGCTAAACTTAAATTGCGTTAATCGTACAAACACAATTTCTAATTTTTCATAAGAATGTTTTCAATCGTTATCACGCAAGTCGCTAAGAATGATAACATCAGCATTATTGAATACCGACTCATTGAAAGGCGAAGGATGTATATTTATACCATGGAATGATGATGGTACTACGGCAATCCATAAAAAAAAAAATAAATCTTTCAAAGTAAATAATTAATTAATCAAGCAAATTTTGCTTAATGGTAAACTTACCTTTTACTTTCACAATAAATAATCCAATTATCACTACAAAGACAATAACTTGAAATATATGCAGTAACTATATAAATTCTATTGAACATGTTAGAATAATCTTACAGGCTTCTATTAATATAAGATTGAATGTCAGCTATTGAATATAAAAATTTTCCAATCTGTGAAAAAATATTTGTAGACCCAGGTTGTGATTTAGTTCGACTTTGAAGTACACTATCACCAAAGAAATGCGCCAATTCCTTCATTATCCTTCTATAAAAGACAAATATGAAATAAAAATAACCAATTATTTAATATTTTAAATTATCTTACCGTCCAAATAAAACCGTAGCTCAAATCTTTGCTTTGAATATTCGGTAACAGTAAACATATGATTATAATTAATAAATAAATATGAAATTAATACTATTCCAATTGAACGAACTCCACCATCCACACCTTCACCAATCACCATCATCATCCAATTTATGACTGACGCTATTTATTAAAAAATGTTCAGTTTAATTAATTAATTTGCTAGTACCAATTTTATTTTGGTACAATTTATAACAGACGAACTTTAAATTTTTTGGGGCAATGTGAAAATCAAAAACAAAGATCTGATTTTATGTTATTTTTTAACGTAATGAAAATACAGGCGTGTAACGAACGTCTGCATACTGTAGTCATGTTATTTATCTACGTGCGCAGTAAAACATTATTCAAAATTATTCAATTTATGAATGGGTTACTAAAATAAAGGTTTTAACCAAAAATAGAAGGATTGACTACGATTATTTATTTTTTTTTCGGGCCGTATTATTTCCGATACAATGATCTGCGTTACATTTTATGGCGAATTTTTATCGCCGTTTTTCTCCGAGGGTAAAACATGTTTTAACTAAAATTAGAAATTTGTTTACGTTAAATAATAAAATATGCCTATAGAAGAATTTTTTGAAATTTTTTTTTTCAAATTTAATTAATATACAAAAATTAGAATTTTACGTGGGCCAATCTAAATTTAGGATTCATTTATTTTAACTTTTGACATATATTTTTATCAAAAATGGATTTAATTTATATATTTAACTTTTATTATTTTTTAAGCGTATCAGCTATCAGGTATGATACTCAGAAAATTTTTTGAAAAAAAAAATTTATTTTTTTAATACTATTTGTATATTTTAAGTATATTTGTGAGTATACCGAGTATAACAAGATTCTTAATTTATAATAATCATTTAATTATACAATGTATCGTCAAATTTCTGAGAACATAAAAAAAATTACTATGTAATTATTACAATTGTATTAGTGTAACGATTTTTTACACCTATACAATAGGTTTTATTTGTGGAAATATTCAACTCATACTCATTTATTTATCTACCAATTTCATTGAAGAACATGTTGATTAAAAATGTTTCTTATAATCTTAAAATTTTTCAAAAATTAAGCTTGTTTATTTTACATTAACATTTTTTTTTATTTTAGATTCTACTTAAATAGAGCTTTTAATATATAATGCTTTTAAATTAAAGTTTATTTAAATAATAGGATGTTAAAATACATAAATTATTTGAAATTTTGCGTATGTCTTACTATACTAAAACACAGTGAAATTCGACACATCAGACCAATCAAACCTTTTTCAAGAATTTGATATATTATGGAAAACGTGACTGCTTATTTATTGATGTAGATCAGTGCATCGGAAAAAATATGACCCGAAAAAAATTCATTTTTTTATTGTAACTTCTACTTTTGATTAAATATATTCCTTTTTAGTAATTCATTCATGGAATATTGAATAAAAAAAAAATTTTTTTTTTTTTTCAAAAAATAAATTTCTAAACATAACCTGCTGCGTATGAGGATAGAATAATTACCTCCTAACCAAATGGAAACTAAACTTAGTAATTTAAATATCTCAGATAAAGATACTGATACAATAAATACCAAAATTTGTTGTAAACCATTCACTAAAGAATTATGGTGTAAAGAATGCATTAATTCTTTAGAAAGATCAGCAGAAAATGGTGATAAAGTAGCAATGTTTAATTTAGCCAATAGATATAAAGATGGAGAAGGAACAGAAAAGGATTTAGAAAAAGCCCTTTATTGGTATCAAAAAGCAGCAGAAAAAGATCATATTAAAGCAATGAATAGTTTGGCCATATGTTATTATCATGGAGAAGGAACAGAAAAGAATTTAGTAACAGCCTTTTATTGGTATCAAAAAGCAGCAGAAAATGGCGAAGATGAAGCAATGTTTAATTTAGCCAATAGATATTATAATGGAGAAAGAACAGAAAAGAATTTAGAAAAAGCCTTTCATTGGTATCAAAAAGCAGCAGAAAATGGTTACACTAGTGCAATGTTTAATTTAGCAATATGTTATAAAAATGGAGAAGGAACAGAAAAGAATTTAGAAAAAGCCTTTCATTGGTATCAAAAAGCAGCAGAAAAAGATCATATTAAAGCAATGAATAGTTTAGCTATATGCTATGAAAATGGAGGAGGAACAGAAAAGAATTTAGAAAAAGCCTTTTATTGGTATCAAAAAGCAGCAGAAAATGATAAAGTAAATCCTAAAAATGAAGTTAAATCATGTAATGAATGCAAGCAACCATATACTGATTATCAGTTGTCTCTTATACACATTCTAGATGTGTATAAGAGACAGATGTAGATCAGTGCATCGGAAAAAATATGACCCGAAAAAAATTCATTTTTTTATTGTAACTTCTACTTTTGATTAAATATATTCCTTTTTAGTAATTCATTCATGGAATATTGAATAAAAAAAAAATTTTTTTTTTTTTTCAAAAAATAAATTTCTAAACATAACCTGCTGCGTATGAGGATAGAATAATTACCTCCTAACCAAATGGAAACTAAACTTAGTAATTTAAATATCTCAGATAAAGATACTGATACAATAAATACCAAAATTTGTTGTAAACCATTCACTAAAGAATTATGGTGTAAAGAATGCATTAATTCTTTAGAAAGATCAGCAGAAAATGGTGATAAAGTAGCAATGTTTAATTTAGCCAATAGATATAAAGATGGAGAAGGAACAGAAAAGGATTTAGAAAAAGCCCTTTATTGGTATCAAAAAGCAGCAGAAAAAGATCATATTAAAGCAATGAATAGTTTGGCCATATGTTATTATCATGGAGAAGGAACAGAAAAGAATTTAGTAACAGCCTTTTATTGGTATCAAAAAGCAGCAGAAAATGGCGAAGATGAAGCAATGTTTAATTTAGCCAATAGATATTATAATGGAGAAAGAACAGAAAAGAATTTAGAAAAAGCCTTTCATTGGTATCAAAAAGCAGCAGAAAATGGTTACACTAGTGCAATGTTTAATTTAGCAATATGTTATAAAAATGGAGAAGGAACAGAAAAGAATTTAGAAAAAGCCTTTTATTGGTATCAAAAAGCAGCAGAAAATGGTTATACTAATGCAATGTTTAATTTAGCCAATGGATATTATAATGGAGAAGGAACAGAAAAGAATTTAGAAAAAGCCTTTTATTGGTATCAAAAAGCAGCAGAAAATGGTTATATCAATGCAATGAATAATTTAGCTTTATGTTATGAAAATGGAGAAGGAACAGAAAAGAATTTAGAAAAAGCCTTTTATTGGTATCAAAAAGCAGCAGAAAATGATAAAGTAAATCCTAAAAATGAAGTTAAATCATGTAATGAATGCAAGCAACCATATACTGATTATCAGTGGTGCCAACAATGTAATACTAGACGATTTCAACAAGATTTTTCAAAATGGACTAGTAAAAATAAATTTATTGATGAATTTATTCAAGAAGCACAACTAAATGCTAAAAATAGTTATGGAATTTTAGAATGGATACCTTATAATAAATTGTCAAGTATTAGTTATTATAATAAAGGAGGATTTGGTGAAATCCATAAAGCTATCTGGTTAGATGGACCTATTTATAGTTGGAATTTTAAAAAACAACAATGGAATAGACAAATAGATTATGTTGTTATTCTTAAAATGCTTAATAATTCATCAAGTTTAGATAGTAAATTTCTGGATGAGGTATAGTATTTATTTTAATAGCAAATTTTATTTCTTTCGCAAAAAATTTAACAATTTTTTTATTGTCTATATAGTGGAAATATCACTATAATTGTCAAAAAAAATCATTTTCAAAATTTATTCAATTCTTTGGAATTACTCAAGATCCAAATAATTTAAATTATATAATTGTAATGAGTTATGCAAAAAAAGGAAGTTTAAGAAAATGTTTGTCTGATATAATTAAATTTAAGTGGCAAGACAAGTTACAATTATTGAAAACAATTATATTAGGACTTAAAGTAATTCACGAATCAAATTTAACTCATGGTGACTTTCATGATGGTAATGTTTTAATATCAGATAATTACAATGAGTTATTTATTATTGATTTGGGACTATGTAAACCTATAAGTGATTCTGGTAATAAGGTTAATGAAATTTATGGAGTTCTACCTTATATGGCTCCTGAAATATTAAGAAACAAACCTTATACCCCAGCAAGTGATATTTATAGTCTTTCAGTGATAATGTGGGAATTTACATCAGGTGCTCCTCCATTTTATCATGAAGCACATGATCATCACCTTAGCTTGGATATTTGTAGAGGAAAACGTCCCAAAATTATAGAAAATACTCCAAAATGCTATATAGATTTAATGGAAAAATGTTGGGATTCAAATCCTTCCAACAGACCAACCATAAGAATGCTTGAAAATATTATATCTGAATGGATTAGATGTATTAATAAATATTATGAAATAAACAGGGATGGAGAACATAACTTTTTAGTACCAAATGTTTATAATCAATTAAAAGATGATATGCTTGAATTTGTAGAAGCAAACAAAACGTTAGTACAAGAACAGGCAAATACTTCTATTATGCAATCTCATCCACAAGCATATTATACAAGTCGCAAATTTACTGAAATTTTAACTCAAGAAGGGACTCAAGGTCTTGATTGTATGATTGAAGATTAATGATCTTGTTATTTATTGAATTATTTATATTATGTAATTTACAATTTTGTAATAAAATAAATATTATTAAATATAAGTATAATAATTATTGAATAATGTTCGTTTATAAAATATTTTTAATTTATTAATTCTTATAAATTATAATGATTATGGTACATTTCACCAAAGTCTGTTTTGCAGAAACTCATTTTTACAGTCATTTCGCTAAAGGGAGGTTTTGGAAGTTTTGCAGAAGAGACATTTCATCAAGGGAATTTCGCTGACTCCTCCTCTGAATCATCTATTTTGTTGGAGACATTTTGCTTAAAATGTTAGTGATTGACATATTTCTTTAATTAAAAACAATTTAATTAGGGATGGATTGGTCCGGTCCAGTCCAGTCTGGTCCCAAAAAGACCAGTCTTTCAGCTAGGACCAGACTGGACCGGTCTTTTGACTGGTCTTTAAAGTTTTTAAATTATCTTATTTATAACAGCGGTATTCTTTGAAATGTAGGTCGCACAAAAAATTATGACATTAATTTATTATTTATTACCTTTGTTTCATTGCAAACTAAGTATGACCCAAATAAAATCTCAAAGTTTAAGAGTAAAAATACCGGAAAGAATTTTAAAACCTTATACAACTATCGAAATATGAAAAAAAATTGTCAATTGACGCTGATCATGTAACACAAAATAATTGCATATACGAAAAAAAATTATTTCTCGTACTTTGACATCTTTAAAGCATCAATGAGAAATCAAATGATATTGATATTTAAAATTTTGATATTTCAGAATGAAAACTTTATTAATAATATATAATTTATCATTTTTATATTGGATAAAAAATTTTATGTAGTCAGTCCCAGTCCGGACTGGTCCTCAAATCTCGGACCGAAGACCATGAAGACCGGTCCCAAGACTGATACAGGACCGGTCTTTGCTGGGACTGATCCAACTCTAAATTTAATACAAAGAAAATAATAAATTTTCAAAGAACAAATTCTCTTTTTCGCTTATTCCAGAAAATTGGGAGTATGATGATTTCATTATCTTAAATTTAAGATCAAATAAAATTAATAAAAAAAAATGAGTTGATATAATGTATAAATAATTCATTATCTTTAAAAAAAAAAGAAAGTTAAGAAGTTCTATATCTTTGGCAAAATGTCTTTCAGCAAATACTAGATTAATTTGAATTAGTATTTTTTTTTTTTTTTTTNTTGACGCTGATCATGTAACACAAAATAATTGCATATACGAAAAAAAATTATTTCTCGTACTTTGACATCTTTAAAGCATCAATGAGAAATCAAATGGTATTTTTTTTTTTTTTTTTCATATTTAATTATAATTATTAAATATTAAATTAATATAAAATAAATTTATTTATTTCAAATTATGTACGATGATAAATGAAAATGGAATTTAAAATTCTATAATCACTATACTGATTTACTATCTATCAACCTCTTTATCTACAATATAAAATAGCTTATCAATCTCAATTGGGAAAGGGAGATATAGTCTAAGTTGATTCAGAAAGACTAGCATAAATTATACAACTTCAATAAATAAATTTTTATGATAATACTTAGGTGTAAAGTTGCTATTATAGTTGGTATCCAAGTCCATTTCACTAAAACTCATTTTTCTGAAGAAATTTTGCCATAAATGTTTCACCTAAGTGCCATTTCACCAACAAACAATTTCCCGAATGGACATTCTCACTATTATTAAAAAAAAAGGAAAGAAACCTGAACAACCAAGGAATTTATGAAACATGATAATAGAAAAAACTATTGTGTACCAATCAAATAAGCAAGTGAAGGAAAAGCCAACTGGAACAATATCCAAATCTGGATCCATTAAGATAAATTTCTTATTAAGAAATAATCGTTAAAATTTTATTTTTTTATAATAAAGTTATATAATTATTAATGGATTTTATATATTTTAATGATAAAAGCCACCAATTTAAGTTCGTTTAATATGACCACGTCATAAAGCATAGTGTCACATGATTATGTGACATAATCTTTTTTTATGCTTTTTTTCTAAAAACTTCATTATAAATATTTAATTTTACTATTGTTCATCTATTCTCCCATTCTTTCCCCTCTTAAATACATGATATACTTTCAAATTGGTATGGTAAAGCCTAATGTTTTTTTAAAAAATTAAAAGCTCCATGTTACTATTGGTTAAACTACTGAATTAGAAGAAATGGGTTAAAAAATAATTTATATGGATAATTTAGGAAAAAGAAAATGAGCATACAAATATGAGGAGAACGCAATGAACCTGGATAGGAAGTTTTTGATGTCAACCTTGTAATGCTAAAAGATTTTGAGAAAATTTTAAAAATTGGATTAATTAAAATAAAGAAATTGATGAATTAATTCAAAATTGTAAAATTTTATACTTTACAAAATATTTTGAATGGATACCTTACTTATAAAATTTCTAAAGATATTACAAGATATTACTATATTACAAGTTGCGAATTTAATAAAATTTATTTGGTTAAGTAGTATGAAGGATACATTAGGTGTCGGGTATTGAGAATCAGAACTGATAAAAAATTCGTATTTCACGGTTGCATTAAAAGTTTTAATAATTCCTTTGATACAACAAAGATGAAATAATTCGAAATCTATTTTACTTCATATATACAATTTTTTTGTAACAAATATGATTTTTTATATATGTCTTTTCCCCTCATCCTTTAATGTTCATATTAGATTAAATCCATCTTCTTATTTATTTTGAAGACGTTGTTAGATGTTTTGTGTAACTCAAGATCCAATTACTAAAATTTATATTATGGTTTTAAGATATTGTAAAAATAGTAATTTAATAAATTGTTTAAGTATATAAATTGCAAGAGTCATTCAGGAAATATACTAGTTTTTTCATATATAACGTGTCAACCAGTAAATGGTAAAACAGCTGGTAAAACGGTTGAAGAAGGAATGGAATTTATGGAGTATTACCTTATATTGCACCAGAAGGTTTACGTAGTCATCAATATACATAAGGAGCAGATATTTAATTATTTGGAATAATAATAGATGAATTTCTTTCTTAAAAAAATTCCTTATAATCATATTTCTAATGATGAATTTTAAAGTATGTAAAGGAGTTAAACCAAAATTCTAAAGACATACCAAAATTATTGTAGGTTTGATAATGAGATGCTGAAAAAGAAAAATAGGCTAACCATTGAAGAGTTACATCAAGATATTAAAAAACTGAAATAATAAAATTTAAAATAAAGGTAGTAGAGATAGTTAAGATAGTGAATTAAAAAGTGAAATGTGTTTCAAATAAAAGAATGTGATAAAATTGAAGAAAAAAAATTTAAAAGCGGATTAAGATAAATTCAAAAATATTCAAACACAACCAAAAGCAACTTATGCTTGCATCTAGCAGACATTAAATTACAAAAATCTCCATAGTGTTAACTATAATATTTGATCAATATCAATATCGGCAAAGATATAATAGATTCCAAACGTTTAATAATTCAACATAAATATTCTTTATATAATAATAACATTATTGTAATGCTGGTTGGAATTTTATAATTGACTTATACTTGGTGCTATTTCTGCATATCTACTGTAGTATATCAATATATTATTTAGTTAAAGGAATAAATTAAAAAATAGTAAAAGATTCTGTCGTAATTAATTTTAATATATTTTGAAGTAATTAAACTTTGATAATTTAGATTTTTGAGAATGATCAGCTGATAAAATCTTGGTAAGACAAGCCGCAGATTGTGCAGATTGGCGTAACGAATGAATGGGTTGTACATCAAATATCTAATTTGGTCGAATATGAAACAAATGTAAATATTGGCGTAAATATTACAGTATAAAGTTATATTATAAAAAAAAATATTTAAATACTGTCTTACCACAATTAAAACCTTATTCTTTTTAACGAAATGTCTACTCAATTTTTTACAAAATTAAGTCAAAATTATATTGAATTATTAAAAGATGATGAATATTATGATATTACAATTGAAGTTGGTGAAGATCCTAACGTAAAAATATTTCGTGCTCACATGAATATTTTGTGTTACCGTTCTCCATATTTACGACGAATTTTATCTTCCAATAAAAAAAACAACAATAACGTATTAACTCACATAAAATTATCAAATATTTCACCGAAAATATTTCAAAATATTTTAGAGTAAGTAAATAATATATTCTATATTAACGGATAATAAATAACATTCATGAAATTTTTGTTATATAGATATATTTATGGCGGTGTTCTATCGTTGAATGATTATGACATTTCAGATTCTCTTAAAGTTTTGGCCGCTGCAGATAACCTCCATCTTCAAGAATTAGTTGATTATTTACAAAAATATTTAATTGAAAATAAGTCAGATTTGATAGAACAACATTTTGGAATGATTCAACAAATTTCTTCACAATCTAATAATTTATTAGAACTTCAAGAGTTTTGTACAAATTTAATGGTTCAATCACCCCAAAAAATATTCAAATCTTTTGATTTCACCAAACTTTCTGAAAAATCTTTAATTTCGCTTATTAAAAATGATGATTTACAAATGAAAGAAATCGAAGTGTGGGAACATGTATTAAAATGGGGTCTTGCACAAAATTTAACTCTCATTCCGGATCCTAAAACTTGGTCAGATGATGATTTCAAAACGATGAAAAATATTTTACAACACTGTTTGCCTTTAATTAGATTTTTTAGTTTATCGTCTAGAGAATTCTCACAAAAAGTTCGTCCATATCAAAAACTCTTAGATCAACAATTATATGAAGATTTATTGAATTCTTATTTGGAACCTGGTGGTGTGTCAAAATACAACGTTTTACGCCCAAGAAAAATTAAGAATGATGAAATTAAAATTGTCGATTCCCAAATTATTGATTCAAAAATTGTAGATTCTAATATTATTTCAACCGTTTCAAAATGGGTTGATAAAGTAGCTATAAATAATGATAATTATGAGGAATTATATTTACCATACAAATTTGAATTATTATTAAGAGGAAGTCGAGATGGATTTACTCCTAAAAAATTTCATGAATTATGCGATGGCAAAGCTAATACTGTTACATTTATTAAAGTAAAAGGAAATGAAGAATTTCTTGGTGGATATAATCCTATGAAGTGGGAAACTACTGGCAAATGGTGTTATACTAATAAAAGTTTTATTTTTTCTTTTAAAAATAAGAATATTAAAGATGCAATTTTAAGTAATGTAAGAGACGCATGGCAAGCATTAGATTATAGCAGATCATGTGGTCCACAGTTCGGCCAAGATCTTAACATAAGTTCTAAAAATACTAAATCTTTTAATGTAACTTATTGTAGAAAAGTGATGTATGAAAGAAATATAAGAGACACTGAAGATAAATTTTCAATAGAAGATTATGAAGTATTTCAAATAATAAGAAGCTAACTACTGTATATATAGATAATTTCTTGTTAAATAAAAAAAATAAAACTGAAGTTCTATATATATGAGACCAAATCTTGGCTTCTTTTTGATAATTATTAATCACGTTTGTTTTTTATTTGTTAAAGACAAAACCAAATTAATATTTACAGTATAAAGGATATAATGAGACTTAATGCTGTTACATTTTTATAAATGAAATTCTTGGTAGTGGTTTAGCATTTTAGGGATTTAAAAAATTTATTGAAGATGTTCGTATTTATTAATTTGTACTTATTAAATATTCTAATAATACGGAATATAAATTTCGTTTCCCTCGCATGTTTTCCCTCCTTTTAGCTCAAACTTTATTTATTCTTTAGAAGTAAAACAATTTTAATTTCAGTGTTCAGCGTTTTCTTAATTTAATTTGAAACTCCAAAATTTTTTTTTCATCGTCTTTTTTTTTTCTTAGCCAACTTCACTCGCAATCAATTCAATAAAAAATTTTGTAATTTTATGAAAGAATCATTTTCAAAACTTGTTTGATATATCATGTTAAAATTTTGTTCCATTAGTTTTTTTTGTTTCTAATCAAAAATAATGTAAATGAAGGATTTAATGCTTTAAAACAAAGTTCACCGGCAGCGATCAAGATTTTAATGATGTCTGAAGTATCGTATTCCTCTAAAGAAAGCCTCCTTCCATTAGTTAATATACATAAAAAAAAAATTTAAATAGTAACATAAAAATTATTTATTTTTTATTTTTATACAAATTTCCTATTTTAATTCTCAAGATTATTTGAAAAATTTTAGGTAAAATATTTGGTAATTTAATATGTAAAAGAATTCCATCATTTTTTTTGTTAACATCAGTTGATAATATTCTTCTATGTGCACGACAATATAATTTTGGTAAAAATGGTAAAAATTCATCATCATATATTATAAAGAAAGAAATATGGCAGTCGGCTAGTAAATTTATATATGGTAATTCCATTTAAATTCCAATCATCCTGTCGGATATTTACAAATTTTGATTTAGTAAAAATTGAATTGTGCTGTGCTAAATCCTGATTGTTAATATCGAACTGACTAAAATAATCGTCAATTGTGGAAATAATTTCGTTTCTCGAATTAAAGACCAATCTATGAAATATTGGATGAGGTATATTGTTATTTGTTACCATCTCATTATTGGCTTCATCCTTAGAGCTAGATAATTCACTCTGTTTCAGATTCTGTTTCAAAATATACAATACTCACTTGGACTAATGAAGTCACAAGTTTCTATATCCATATTTTGTTTGGAAAACATGGTTATTATAACCTCTCCATCTGAATTAATTTCAGTAAATTCAGGGAGTAATAATTCATAAAATGTATATAATGGAGAAGACGGTACATCATTGCCATTACGATTCATAATGCAGAAAAACAAGCAATAAAAAATGAAATTTTATGCTAGTATCATTATTTTGCCAAATTCAGCAATCATGTATTAACTTTGTAAGGTGTATTGTTAAATTTTGTAACTTCGCTGCAATATTATTACTTTAGAATATCAGGCTTATTTTTTATGCTATAACCATTTCTACAAGTATTGCATGAAATGTGCTACTGTAATATTCATTAGCAGTTATGTTGTAATCTATTTTTTTTGTATAAAATCAATAAAGAATCTGTATACTACATAACGGTAAATAAAAACTAATGTCTAATTCATTATTATTAGTAATCAATCAATATCCAAAAAGTTGAATAATATAAGGCATGGTAAACACTCATATTTGCAACAAGCTGTCCGTATGTCGATGAAGGAATAAATGTTTTGCGTAAAAAACGCTCAATTAGCTTCTGTTTCATTTCAGTAATAGGCATTTCATCTGCGAAATCAGTAAACAGCAATATCATTGGTTACTGTATTGGTTATATCCGTCTTAGAACGCGTTTTGTAAGTCCAAAGCATTAGAGTCTTATTAATATTAGCTGATATATCGACTTGAAATGATTATAATTTAAATCTGATGACTCGGCAATATTGAGTTGCAGTACATAATCTAGTATAACTGCCCCAGATGCACCCTCAAAAAATTCTGCATACGGCATTATGTACAGTACGAACATATGAAAGTAAACAATGACGTATAAGGGTGACAAATAAGATTTTACCTACTCAATAAAACAGCCCCTCAGATAAATATAAACAGTGGAAACGTAGTGGGTGTGATGCCTGTAATGATTTAAAAGTATTGCAGAATATTTTTGGGTGCAGCTGGGCTAGATATCTAGTAATGATACAATAATGGCACAGCTAAATCATTGCTTCGCAGTTCAAAAACGTGTAAAATGCTCCGCCATTCGAAAATGTTAGTCAATAAATAATTTAACGTTAACGAAATAAATGTTTTTTACCATTTTTATTAAAAAACACTGCGAAAATGTTTATTAATAAATAATATAATAAAAAAAGTGGTTCACAGCGTTTTTTTTAACATTTTAATAAAATGTTGTGAGATAACAATTTTAAAAAAAAAAAACGCTACACTACGTTCTTTGATAATAATTTGATAAAAACATTTTTACTAAATTTATATTCATACATTTTTATTATTTATATATTATAAATAAAATATAATAAGCAGTGAATGAAGAAAATCTAAGTAATAATTCTATAGTATGGTGAGAGTTTAACAAATTCTTTCTTTTTGACAAGAGTAATGATAAAGTCCCAGCCTAGATTAAATTATATATTTTAAATTATATACAGCCGACCCTTCTATAATCACACCCTTCGGGACCACCAAATGGCGTGGTTATATAGAGGTGTGCTTATATGCATATAATCACATATATATAAAATTTATTATTGGTATGATTATACACAAAGATTTACAATTGAGAATATTATTACTACGTGTAATTTTTATTTAAATATATATTTATAATAATTTAATAAATATTAAAAAAGGTTTGTTGAAAATAAAATTATCTTAAAAAAACTTATAATTTCCCGCCATCCCTTCCCGTCTATTACATAGTTTTTTTACGAAACACAGAACTTAAAATTTGCATCGTTACATAAATGCATTTTTTAGTTTTCTTATATGACCCTAATAATTCAGTTACGCAAAAATACTAATTTATTTACTATAAAACTATATTATAATTATTATATAAAACTAATAAAAGTATAAACGTACAATATGACTTATTAATCTTGTTTTTCAAAAAACTATCAAGAGTGCTTTGTTAAACTCTTTAACTCTTATTATTCGTAAATATTTTCTAAAAATACGCAAATCAAAATAATTAATAAATGTTTTCAATGCATTAACTCCTTCCTTATCTGATATTAATTGTATTTCTTCATCCGAAGTATCTTCATCTCCAATTTCTTCATCATATATTAATTATTTGTTCATCAGTAGTAAGATGCTCTTCAGTTAAAATTTCACTATCAAATTCCTTAAAAAATTCTCGTAAAAGATCAGCTTCCGGAAGACAATCAAAATTGATTTCAATATCAGAATCATTTAAACTATCCGTCTCTTGTAAATTTTCAACGTCATCTATAATATAATCAGAAGATGGTAGAATACCAGTTTTAATCCAACAATTTCGTATAGTTGATTGACACTATTCCATGCTTCGGCAATATAATCTATCGCTTCTTTGATATTTAATTTATTTCTAATATAGGATACAAATTAATTAAGAAATTATAAATAAATTAAATAAAAAATATAAGTTTAACTTACTTTTCACAATCCATTCCATTATCAAATTGCCAGATTAAATGTAAGCAAAATTCTCGTTAATATCTGGATTTAAAGCTATGGATAATTCCTGCATCCATTGGTTGAAGATGAGCAGTAGTATTTGGAGGAAGATAAACAAGTTCAATATTAGTAAGCTTAATATCAGGTTTTTTTTTAATAGGTTTCTTTTTTGATTTTTTCTGATTTTGAGCTGAATGAGATGATTCTGCAACTTCTCCTTCTGTATTATGATCATCATCACTTAAATCAGAATTATTTTCGCTAAATAGAATGAATTAAAATGCAATCCAGCATTATCAACAAGAAGTAAAATTTTTCGATCCATTGTACGAACCAAATTATCGAGATAATGAAGCCATTCAACAAAAATATCTGATCCCGTCCAGGCTTTTGAATTAGCACGGTAAATTACAGGAAGACTTGATCTATTTATATTTTTAAAACAACTAATGTGGATTAAGTGACTTTTCGATTACAAGAGGAGGAAATTTGTGTGAGCCATAAGAATTACTACATAAAAGAACTGAAAGTCAGTTTTTATCCTAACTTATAATTATAAACAGATAAAGTTTAATCTTAAATAACAATTTAAAAATAATTAATTTCTGTTTCTGTTAAAACTTACTTTTTTTCGTCTAGAAATTTTTCCTGTACTAAGTGTTTGATTAGGTTCCATCCGAAAAAAAAAGGCTGCATTATAAATATCCTTTTCATCATATTTAGCTAAAAGTGTACGTAAACGTAAACGTTCTTATGGGAGAGTCTCTAATGGAGAACTATTGGCTTCTCCCGAAAAATGAACTCTTTGAAGATCATTTTGCAACTTAAACCTATAAATCAAACCATTAGTACATTTTAGTTGGTCTTCAATATTTAATAACTTGGCAAACTCTATTCCTTTAAGTTGTAATATTGAGTTCGATAAAGGAAGGCCTGCCGCTGTTGCTTGTGAAGTCCAAATTTGCATAACTTTTTCAAGTTCTGGAAATTGAACAGAATGGTTGTGGTAAATATGTGAAGTTTGTGAAATAGATAAAACTTTTCATGTTCCTTTTATATTTTACTAATAGTTGTTCTATCAATATTTAAATCTTGATATTTTTCGTTAAAAAATAATGCAATGTTGCCTTGACTTATATTAGGATTGCTTTCATATATTCACAAATTTCTTTTTTATATTAATACTAATAGCAGTACGTGTATTTTTTGATTTTTCTGAACAAATAGGTGGCATGTTAAACAAAGTAATGAAGTATAAATTGCATATTACGTGTACTGCGTATACTGCGCATAGTGTAATATTTTATAGATTATCAAGTTGTACAATTTATTGTGATTGTATAAGGGGATATAATTTTACTGTGATTATATAGAAGGAAATTTTCTTATATTTACTATAAGATGGGACCGAAAAATTATGTGATTATATTTATACATATATTGTGACTATAAAAAAGGAATTTTATTATTAAAATAACCGGGACTAATGAATAGTGTGATTAAAAAAAGGAAGTGATTATATTGGAGGCGACTATAGAGGGGTACGACTGTACCATATTTCTATAAATTACAGCATCAATTTTTTGCATTCCGTCTTGATAAGTATTGTCACAATATTTTCATAACCTAATCTTTAATAAAGTGACACTATATTTATTTTAAAAAATGTCGAACCTGACGTTTTTCATTAAAAAAAAAAATAATTAAGTGTATAATAATTTTGATAAACGAAATATAACCGTATAATAGGAAATTTTATTATTTTGAAAGAAAATGTTAGCAATAAATCCACTATTGAAGCTATTATTAGTAATAATTCACCAATAATGGGGTTAAAAAAAATAGATAATTGCTAGTATATTTATTATTAGTAACTTATTTCTTAATTTTAATAACAGTTAATAATATTTTCAAATCTTGTATTTTATTTGTTCAATTACAAACTAATTTTTATATTTATGTAAAAAAAAAAATTACATATACTCTATAATTAGTGTTGAACAAAATACAATGATATCAACAAAAAAAAATAATAATATCCCAATTATAAAATTGTGTTAATAGTTAATATTGGGCTTAAGTTAGTTGCATCTTATCTAATATAAGGAGTTTGGTATCAAATTATAGTTAGAACATGAATTTTCACAATTGTGTTACACCTTTTATGTTTTATATTCATCACTTTTCTTTAGATGAACTTTATAAAATGTATTTTATATTTGGTGTAGATGCATGTTCTAATTGACTTATTTTTCATTTTGTTCCCTATAAATTGATTTATAATTTAATAAATTTTCAATAAAAATAAAACAATAATTTAAATAAATATTTACATACTCCGTAAAATCAGTAATTTCTACTGAACAATTGTTGTAACTATCATCATGTTTTTGGAAGTTCTTTTGTAAATTGATTGAGTAATCGAGAAGTATAACAAGCTTGTGGATGAATTGATTGACTATTTCCAGTAGATAAAATATTTGTTTTTCTATATTCTTCTGCTTTTTCAATTTGCTTATTAATTTCTTTATCTTCACAACTAAGTTTAGGGATCAATTTTTCTATTTCAATAGCACTTGGTCTCTTATCTGGATCTGGATCCCAACAATTTTTCATTAACTCAATATAAAATTTTGGTGCTTCTTGTTCATTTATTTCAGGTCTAATTCCATTACATATATTTAATGCTAAACCACTATCATGAGCACGATTGGCAAAAGGTTGTCTTCCAGTTGCAATATAATACATAATCATACCAAAACTATATACATCTGCTGCTTGATTATATGGCTTTCCTCTTAATACTTCAGGAGCTACAAATGGCATAACTCCATAAATTTTTGTTTTGTCTATATTACTAACTTCTCCACATAATCCCATATCTGAAATATATATATCATGTGAAGAATTTCCAGAGTAACCATAATAGGAATTATATCCAATTGATACCAATATATTTCCTGTATGGAAATCACGGTGGGCTAATTTATTTTCATGAATGTTTTTAAGACCTTTAACAATCTGACTTAGTACATCCAATTTTTCATTCCAACGGTAACTCCTAATGATATTGTTATTCTCATTATTAAGATTTCCACCACTTGCATATTCAAATACAATAATATAGTCATTTGTATCTGGATTTTGGGATATCCCATATATTTTGAGGATTCCATCATTAAAATTAATAGAGTATGCATTAACCTATCAAAAAGTAAAAACAATCATTATTCAAAAGTGTTTAATGAAGTCTAAAAAAAATAAAAAAAATAAATTTCATACCTCATTTAAAAATTCATTAGTAATATTTTGTGAATTATATAAGCATTTTAAAGCAACTTCTTTATTTGGTGTAGTTCTTTTTAATTCCATATCATATTTTAATGGACCATCTTTCCATATTGCTAAATAGACTGTAGAAAATCCACCTTTACCTATTTCTTTAATATTATTAAACTGGTCATATGGTATCCATTCAACAATTATATCATTATAATTGTTAATTTTTAATTGCATATTTTGAACAAAATTATCAATTCTTTCATTTCCACTAGTCCAATATACAAAATTTTGTTTTAACCCATTTATTTGACATGGTTTACACCATTTATGATAATATATTTCTGTATATTTTTTACCACAGTTTTTGCAATAATAACCATCTTGAAATACAATAACATATTCATTTGTATTTAGATTTTGGGATATTCCATATATTTTAGGAATATTATCTACATAAACTATATCATCTACTTTAATGGAATATGCTTTAGCCTGTTAAATGAAAAGGTTGTTATAATAAAGTACTTTTAAGGATTAAATTATAAAAATTAGAAATTTCATACCTCATTTAGCAAGTTACTAATAACATTTTGAGAATTATTCAAGCATTTTAAAGTGACTTCTTTATTAGGTTCTCTTTCATATTTTATTTCTTTTTCATCATATTTTAATAAACCATTCTTCCATATTGCTGTAGCAATGCCATCTTTGCCTATTTTTACAACATTATTAAATTGGTCATAAGGTATCCATTCAACAATTATATCACTAGTANCTGTCTCTTATACACATCTAGATGTGTATAAGAGACAGGGTTTACACCATTTTCCCCATATTACTGTATATATTTCACCACATTCTTTGCAATAACTATTATTAAGTACTATAATATAATCTTTTGTATCTGGATTTTGGGATATTCCATATATTTTAGGAATATCATATTCATAATTTAATTTAATGGAATATGCTTTAGCCTGTTAAATATAAAAGTTGTTATAAAAAAGTACTTTTAAGGATTAAATTACAAAAATTAGAAGTTTCATACCTTAATTAGCAAGTCACTAATTACATTTTGAGAATTATTTAAGCATTTTAAAATGACTTCTTTATTAGGTTCTCTTTCATATTTTATTTCTTTTTCATCATATTTTAATAAACCATTCTTCCATATTGCTGTAGCAACGCCATCTTTATTTGTTTTTTTAACATTATTGAATTGGTTATAAGGTATCCATTCAACAATTATATTATAACTACCTTCAATTTTCAATTGCATTTCTTGAATGAATTCATCAATTTTTTTATTTCCACTAGTCCAGTTTGCAAGATTTAGTTCTAAATTATTTATTTGACATGGTTTACACCATTTATAGATTATGTATATTTCACTACATTCTTTGCAAAAACTATTATCAAGTACTATAATATAATCATTTGTATCTGGATTTTGGGATATTCCATATATTTTAGGAATATTATATTCATCTACTTTAATGGAATATGCTTTAGCCTGTTAATATAAAAATTGTTATAATAAAAGTACTTTAAGACTAAATTACAAAAAAAATAGAAGTTTCATACCTCATTTAGCAAGTCGCTAATAACATATTGAGAATTATTCAAGAATTTTAAAGTGACTTCTGTATTAGTTCTTCTTTCATGTTTCCCTTCTTTTATATTATATTTTAATAAACCATCCTTCCATATTGCTGTAGCAAAACCATCCTTGTTTGTTTTTTTAACATTATTGAATTGGTTGTAAGGTATCCATTCAACAATTATATCACCAGTACTTTCAATTTTAGATTGCATCTTTTGAATAAAATTATCAATCTTTTCATTTCCACTAGTCCAGTTCGTGAAATTTTTTTCTAAGTTATTTATTACACATGGTCTACACCATTTTTCATCAACAGTTATATATATTTTACCACAGCTTTCACATATAATATCATTTTGAGATGACATGATTTAGGATTTTTTTTTTTAAAAAAATAATCGGCGTTAATTAAAGTACACAAATATGCGATGATTGTTACAAAATTTAAATCGAATTGAAAATCATGTGATAATAATCACGCCATTTTTCTTTAAGTGTAACATAACACCTGATACTCAATAAATTTGTCATACAGTACAATGCAGATCAAAATAAAATCATTTGGCTCACTTGATGGCCAACATTACGTTAATTTTGCCAAATGATCGACATTCCGAAAGTGAGTCAAATCCGCATATAAATGACACAAAACTTTCTTAATAAATAGTAGATTTTAGGTTACACTTTTACAATTATATTAATAGAAAAATACCTATATATATATTGTTCGGGGTCCTACGTTAATTTCGCAAGAAGCAGAAATCGTTAAAGACGTTTAATTTCATTATAAAACGGTTAAAAAAAAAATAGTAGTTAAAAAAAATAGTAGTTTAAAAATACGCTAATACTTATTTAGATTTAAAAAATTTTACAAGGGGGGGTGGGAAATAAGAATTATATAATAATATACTTATCTAAATTCTAAATGGTGAGATTTTTGGATATTCTTCATCAAAAATTCCTTATCAATTATACATTTTTATTTCGTTATTTAGAACAGGTTGTGAATATATCGAGGATAAATAAAAAGGATATTACTAAAGCTTACAAATTAATAATTGAAAATTTTATTGTAAGTTTAATAGATATCTTAAAAAATTAAGTGTAATTTGTAGAAGTTGGCGATATATTTTTCATAAAAGTTACTAGCACTTAATTTGCGAAATACTAATATATTTTCAGTTCAGTTCTTACTTTACGATTATTACAACTGGGAAACTTTAGCAATGACCACATTAAGGGTAAAAAAATTTGGTGAAACTTTCAATTATCATACCAAATAAATAATCAATTTGAAAAGCGAACATATAATAAATTGCGAATATACTGTAATAATACTTATTGCTCATTGCTTAATTTTCTCTTCATGTAATTAGTGTACAGTGGGTGTGCGCACACCACCATAGGTTGTTTGCTGTGCATACTAATATAATATTGTTTAACATGTTGCACAAAAAAAAACATAAAAATGAATATAAAATAAAAATTTGGCAAAATTTTAAAGTATACAATACATTAAATAAAAAGGGAATAAAGGATAACATTATTTGTATTGAAATTATTTAGTACTTCACAGGTCATCCTCGGTAAATCTCTTTTTCACAACATCCGAGAATAGAAAATATTAAACAGGAATGACCATGATGAGCATTATCGTTATTGATAAAACAAACTTGAAACTTTCATATGTAACTTGAATAAAATTCTAAAATTGAGTTTTTAAAATTTGCTGTGCCACTTTCGAAAAAAAAGAATGACAACTAAACTAATAAGTTAATTTATGATTAATTTTTGATTCTATTTCTATTTTAATAATTTTATTTACTATGCATTTTAATTGTTGCTTATAAATAGCATTTTTAAATAAAACCCAGTTTAAAACTAATTAAATAAAATAACTCGTTGATTATACCCAACAGATTATTACATCAAGCTCATTTGAGAAGCTTGTTTTAAGCTTAAGATGTATTGAACAAACTCAAGCCAATTACTTTGAGAAATTTAACATTACCGTATATTATATATATGGAAATTTCTCATTTATAATTATTTACAATTTTTAATTGTTAAAATTAGCTTTTGCTACTGTAATAACATGAATTACCCGGATAATCAATTTAATAAAATACTCTATAAATTTTTTCAGAAATAGTCTCATATGGAAACCGGGTTCAAATGATCGACAAATCAAATCACAATGGAATAACTTTCTTAGAATATACTAGTAATTATAATTTTTCCAACATTGATAATATCATCATTGTACAGTATGTATTGTCTGAAAAATAATAATAATTGCAGGTACTGTCAATTTTTACTTTATCAAATTTTCATTTTGCATAGTTTGGCCCATTTTCTGTATTTAAATTGTTTCTATACAAATTTACAAATTCCAATTTTCAATTTTTTATAGGCAACTTGATAGAAATATTAGTTTGAATACTTGCTTGATATTTATTGTTATTATGTTATTATGCAGCCAAATAGGACCACGTCGTTTTTAACATACTGATATTTTTTAGATAAATTATTAATGCATAAAATATCTTTGATATTTTTGACGCATTGCGTCATTTAGATTAATATCACTCGTTAATTTTTAAAGGTAAAATACCTATTGTTTACTATTCTTGCACAATAACACAGTTATTGAAGCTATAAATAAACTAGATTCTCTCACAGAAGGCAGTATAACTGCCGAGTATTCAGAGGAACTGAGATTATCCCATAACTTTCCGAGTTGTGGCTCATGCTTGGTTGTCAAGAATTATACTATAGGCGCATATATAGCACTGCAAGTTATTCTTTTAATATCTTGCAGATTCATAATTATATTTATTACTTGTATTGATAGGATTTTGATTTTATTCTTATCGAATTCTAGCAAAAGGATTACTTGACCTTATAACGTAAACCACTGCAGGGTTGGCCAAAACTGCGGTTATTCCATTGAGCACCTGTTTAACTTGCGTATATAGAAGATAATGTACTTGTTTAACATTTTGAGGACTGCAGTTATCTCATAGCTAAAAGGCTGTAGTTCATGATAAGTTGTCAAGAGTGTACATTATGCGCTCAATCACTTACCGACTTGACTTTTTTTATGTCAAGAATGCATTTGTTAGAAGAATGGGCCACAGAAAAAAATATATATAATTCATATTTATGCGTATAAAACTTTATTGATTTTTGATGCTATCAATGAGGGAGGGAGTACGCTTATCCTAGACCAGTTAATGCGAGTCCCAGCATCAAGTTATTTCTTTGCTCTCACATTTCGGGGAATATTGTATCTATAACTAACAAAATTATTTCTCTATCTATACGTCTATCTACTTTCCTATCATAACTAATTTTGTTTCTACCCATATACACCATACAGGAAATTTCATTTTAACCAAGTTCCACAAGAGAATCGACCCTAAATCATAAATTCGGGTGATTAGCAACTGAAGTAAACGAAATAACAATGCAATCTTTCCTTTTCGATTCACACTTATCGCTACGATTCATTTTCACAACATTCCATGCCGCCTCAAATTCAAATAATTTGTTTCTCTTGACTTTAGTCAATTTTTTTATCGCTAGAACGATACTGCGCCAAATTCCCCGGCTGAAATTACAGTCATGAGATTTTTTTCTTCGTAGTAGTATTTCATTGCGCCAATGAGACATCATCATCCAGATTTTCTCTGCGAATATCAAATATGCAGGAAGGATCAAGAAAAGTAATATATCCTTAAAATCTACATTATAAATTCGAAAAAAATGATTAATATCGTGATGATGTGAATCTAGAATCAAGCCGAGAAATCAAACCAACATTATACGAGTTCGTTTGATTGTTGATATTGATGATGGTAAGTTTGATCTGTTTGAACTTTTCGCCTGATTTTGTTTTATTTGCATAAGGCGGATAAAAGGATTTACTGACAGTGACATCACCTTTTATATAATTCGCATGGTCGACTTTGGAATACGCTTTTGGGGAAATTATGTTAATATAATCACATCAACGAAAATTTGATCAACAGAACCGCTTAAATTAATAAAAAAAAGCTTATTATCAAGGCCCTTTTTAATAATAATATACGTACTTATTCCCGTAATACGTGTGACGAACTGACGATTCACGTCTATACTAAATTTTTCTAATGTTACCGCGCATTTATTATTAAGTTCTGGATCAATGATCTCTCGTTACACGCTCGCTTCACATCATAACCCACTCCATTATATGTCTGAATTTGGCAAATTAATCGTGCCTACTTTATTGTAAATAAAAAAAATATTATTGTATGCGAAAATCTTACGTTGCACGAATATCTTCTGCTAAATCCAATGCTATGATCGCGAACTTGAATTTATTGCTTGAATTGCTGTAGGCAAGACAATATTCTGTTCCATTTCTATACCATTCGTCATGTAACCCATAATTCCCAGGCTGAGAAAATGCAAAATTATAATCATCAAACCTGATTCAGAATTAATTATCAAATCCGTGTTAGTGCATTTCACAACCGAAAAGCTTTGGAGGGATTGGTTTTCGTAAGTGATACTGTAGGCTTGAAATCAGTTTTGCTGATTCAGGGGTTATATCATATCTTCAAGAACTTACGAGTTTAGGAAAAACTTAATAATCGGTACTACATGAAAATAAATTTGTTATTGAAGAGGAAATTATTAAGTTATTAATAAATACGTCTAATAGGACCCAAAATATATATGTAGGGGTAAGGCGTCGCCATCATAGAAATTTTACGGGGTTAAGTATTGATTTGCGTACAATCTGAGTTTTTTAGATTATTAAAATGCGTATTTAACAGGTTTTTTTAAACATGGGGTTTATTTAGCTAATCATATATACATATATAAGATAAATAATTAAAAGTAAATATAAAAATATTCAACATTTGTAACATGCTACGCAAAAATCAAGTAATATTGTCTATCATATTAGCCCAACTAATGTGAAATGAAAAGTAATATTATTATGATTACTTTGGTCGGAAAGATGTAATTGAAAAAAATATGATAATATTTTTATAATTGTGTAACATATTTATTGGATATATTATTATATATTCATTGTAAAAAATATTTTAATATATATAAAATTTTTACATCAAATGGGCAAATCATATGATGAGGTTAGAAAAAGAATTAATTTGCGTATTTTTTCTGATTTTCTGAAGTAAGGAGGCAATTTTGCGTACTAAACTTATAGAAATCCCCGCGTACAGCTATTAATAAAAAATTTGAAAGTCACCTTACCTCTTTATATATTTCGGGGTCTTCATCTAATACCAACATTGTTCCATTAATTCTTTATATTTTGAAGGAGTTCCTGAATCCTGATATAACCCTTGGTCTCATACCATTAAAAGAATATTATAAATACTGATTATTGATATGATTGATTAATTAATTACAATATTTGTCTAGATGAATATGCTCTACGATGGAAAAATAATTTAATTTATGGTAACAATAGAAATTGGGTTAAAAATTGTACTTAATTAAACATAAAGCAGACATGATAAATTCATCACGATTAAATGTATTTTACAACAATGTTTACGATTTATATCCAATCATTACAAATATAGAACAATGAGTGAAGATACATTAGAACAAGCTTTCAAAATTAAAAATTTCATTAAAGAGTTCCCAACATATGGAACATTATATAATCACAATGTAAAGGAAACATGTTTGGACTTGCGAAAGAAATGAATTCACGAAAATTGATGTGATACCAAAGACGATGATAGAGTTAGAAGAAAGATACAAATATGGCTGATCAAATAAATATAGGGCTATATTATCAATTAATGTCTCTTTCTTGTGTATGATGCGAGAGCCATCTAAAGTGATTATAATTAATAAGGACAAAGGAGTGAGATTGTATAGCAAAAACAAAAGATGAACGTTCAGTGTTACGTGAATTATGGGAAAAATTATAATTTAACAACTTTTGATTTAATTCTATGTACAGTATTTTTAATAAAATATAAATAAAGAAATGCGTGTTACTAACAGAAAAAAAAAAAAAAGATATTTAGGAGTTAGTGTTTTTCGGACTTTGTGCTGTGCTGTATAATGCATATTCATGTTGCCGTTTTATATGATTGCAAATTAAGTAATAGTTATATACGGTACATCTTGTGAATCTTACAATGTAAAATTTCCATGTATACTTTTTTCTTAGTCGATCACTCATGCCGTTGTACTGTTTTCTCCGAGCTAAAAAATTATGAACTCGGTTAAAAGATCGCAGTTTGAAGCGTTAACGAAGAAATTATTTTGGCATTTGCAAGGAAGCGACTTCAAAGCTTGTAAAATATTCGTTTCGTATAGATTTCTGAGGACATTAATCATCACGGAATGCAACAACATAAATGTTTGGCGAGACTTTACTAAGATTAATGCTGTGAACTAATTATTTTCGGACACTTAAACTGGATCATGAAGTGAGATAATGCGTAATAGTGTAAGCAAACGAATGGTATGGTCTACAGAAATTAGTATAAAACCGTTTTAAAACATATATCAAAGCTTAATCATATTTTTATTCTGTATCAATAATGCCTGTTTATGTATATTTTGGAATTTTGTTCGTGCGCTTTGAACCTGAACCTGACCATTGGTTAATGGTTAGATGTCTATAAAAGTTTAGGATATCAGTCATGTGTAAAGATCTGTAGTACAACGTTTTATTAACGTCACATGATTTTATAATTATCCGTCGTTTTGTTATTTCGTTTCTTGTTTGGCAATAGTTTTCTTTTGAACAACCGATAATTTTAATAGTTATTTCGCACTTTTAATGATGGAAGAATTTTTTACAAAATTGATACAATTTGGGGCTCAAATCGAAGAATCATGTCGCGAGTTGAGGTTTGTAACTATTTTGTTACATTACATTACATTAATACCTAATATCTTAAGAAGAAAAAACAATTCTTTTTTTAAATAAATAATTAAAGGACTACAATTGAAAGTCCCGCATTACCAATATCCTTAGGGCATCAGGAAAATTATTTTCGTGATATGCTGGTACAAAGTAAAGCAATGATGAATGAAATAAATTCATTAGAGAAAACTCCAAACACTAAGCATCATATGAACGATCTCATTTTAGCTACTAATAATGTCTATGAAAAGGTATTTAAAACTTGGTTTAATATTTTTTACAAAATATTCTTATAAAGTTTTAAAATTTTATCCGATGTCATTTAATGATAGATGCAGCATGATATATATTTAATGGAAGAACAATTACGCGAATTCGGTTTGGAAGGTAAGTTTACGCGTATTTTCGCGTTTTCTTAATCAAATTTTATTTAATTACAAGAGAAATATTAACAATCCTCTTATTATAGGAACTTTCGTTCCAAAATCAACTATTGATGATGAAAAGACGAGGGAGCCTACGGAGGAAATTGAATCAAAATCTACATCAACCAAGGAACCTTCAAAGTTTCATCCTGAATCTGAAAGACGATTCACACCGCCTGTTATCAAAACGTTCAAAAGGCTTTCCACTCAAACACAAGAAAGTCCAACGCTTGAAAGTTTTGGTTTATCAGATCACGCGTTAGCATTACTTAAAGCTGGTTAATATCGATTTTTTTAAAAAAAAGCCTATTATTAAATGTATACTTATATAAATATTTCATTTTTTTAGGCACACCCGAATTAATAAAAGATTATGGAATTAAGCTAAATTCAGATAACTCTAAATCTCAACAATTTACTAATAACGTTGCGTCAAATGATTTAACACCAATATCTTTATTTGAACGAATGTCTCCTAGATCAAGTTTTCCTTCTTTATCTTCTAACGAACTTCCGGAATGTACACAAATTGGACCAATTACAAAAAAAGAGTTTGAAACACTTGGTCGTGATATTCATAGACAAATTTCTATGGAGGCAAGTTATTCTGCGATAATTTCGACTAATATAAAAATTGATCATAATTTTATTTATTTATAATAGTTCTTAAATCAAGTGATATATGATATTAATGAGATGGTCGGAGGTAAGCTAAATAATTCCTTTGTTATTATTCTTATATTAATTAGATATTAATAAAATATTAATAGGAAATATTCGTGATTATTTAAGATAAACACGACTTGCCGGATTTTCCGAAACAGGCTTGGAATGAATTCACATATGATGAACTCTTGAATGAGATCGGAGTTGGTTTGTATAGTTCTTGGTAATTGTAAATTTCATATATAATCAAAATTAATATTTTTTTTTTTTTCATATATATAAAAGGAGGAACAGCCACAATTGACATTGTCTTACTAGCTTTGATAACTCTAGATAGAATTGTATCAAGATGTAGCGATCCTGATCCAATGAAAAAACGATATCGGATTTTATAGTTCATTTTCAGTAAAATATAGCTTTAATATAAATTTTCCCAAATGGTTACATTTTTTTACTTTAAATAAATATTATTTTCAAATATAATCTTAAGTTATCGACCTTTGAATCTCAAATGACTCTCAAAAATAAAAATCATAGGGACATTGAAGATCCTAAAGACGAAATTGGCCATTTTGGCATGTGATCAATAGTATATTCATCGACTAATCCTATGCGAAAACGTTCCACTCCAGCCCATGCAATCATAACACCATTATCAGTACATAAATGTGGTGGAGGACATATTAATGGAACGTTATACTGCTCAACCGCCAACGATTCCAAACTAAAAAAAGCTGAGTAAATTACCAAGTTTTTTTATGGTTCAAAAAAAAAAAAAAAAAATTTACCTAAAACGAATGCTTTTATTACTTGCTACACCACCACTTGCGACCAAAGCTGTTAATGGGATAGCCTTTTCTTTACACCATTTAAAAGCTAATTCTAATTTATCTGTCAAATGGGCTATAGCCGCTTTCTGAAAAGTTGAAGCTAAATCTCTCTTAATATTTTCATCATCTATATCCAAGTTATGCTTTGTAATTAAAGCATTCACTGATGTTTTCAGCCCACTAAAACTCAAATCCATTGCCTCTTTTCTACGTTTATCTTTTGTCATCGGTATTGGAACCGAGAATTTCTTAGAATCTCCTTTTTCAGCAAACTGTTCTAATGCTGCACCAGGGCCACCTCCGCGACCTTTCAACCAAGGTATTTTAAGTAATCGAGCGATTTTGTCATAAGCCTCTCCAACTGAATCATCCACAGTTGTTCCAAGATGGATATAATGATTAACACCACGTGCTACCAATATAAGAGTGTGTCCACCAGAAATTAATAATGTCAAAAAAGGAAAAGGTAGCAAATTTGGAGTTGGATGAGTAAGACGTGCCGTAAGCGCATGAGCTTCCTATAACATACGATATATGATATAACATTACACCTGAAAGAAAATGAATTGTTTAAGCTCTTGGATTTTTTTAGTTATTCATCGTTAATACATGCCATATGATGAACGCCTATTAATGGTTTACTATAAAAGACAAACTATGAGAAAATTTGTTCACTCTATATTTTTTACGCAATGAAATAGTTTTTACATTTACCAAAGTGCTGCAGCCAAAGCTTTTCCCGCGCTCAATCCATTGCCAAGACAGGCAGGAAGTCCAGGACCTCTCGTAACTGCAATTACATCGATATCTTTAGCGATATCCATGTTTGCTTTATCCAAAGCTTCTCGTATTACAAGTGGTAAATATTGCTGATGACTTGACATTGCCAAGTTTGGAACGATTCCTCCATATGGTTCGTGTAGTTGTTGTTGAAGGTGAATCGCTTCACTTATAATCTGTCGATCTGAATTTACAATTGCAACTCCTGTATCATCGCAAGAAGTTTCAATACCGAGAACTGTAAAAGGTGTTCTTATATTCGGATTAAAAGTAGAATAATTTTTGGATAAGAAAGCTCTATTTGAATTACAAAAATTATACCGTACAAATTTTAAATATTGTGTAGATATGAGCATGATAAATATTTTTTCTTTTAAAAAAAAAAAAAAAAAATCTGAATTAGATTATCTACGATGTTACACGACTTCTATATCCAACAGTTTAAATCAGAGTATCATGGCCTCCAATCCACATTTTAAGATGTTAAAAATTGTTTTTTATCTAATTAGAAAAATTACAAAAAAAAAAATAATACAATGGAACTGATATTAGACCCACTTTCTACAAATACAAAGTACATATGCTGCTTTTCAATCTAATAATAATAATTATAATAATTTCCATTATTCTCTATCAATCTATCAAGCCTGAAGCATACTATATATTATGAACCTACTGATTCATTGACATTAACATAGTAAACACGTTAACACGACGTTTTGCTACTGAACTTTACAACGAATATTATCTAATTCAAATTTCCAATTTGGTCATGATCGCAACATTTTCAAGAGATAATCAGCTGCAGTAATTCTAATAGCAGTATTCAATCAATTACAAAATTAAGATATATAGTAATAACGATAACAAAATTGTTAAAGAGAATATTGAAGCCATTCAGGATCTAATGATAAAATTATTTTATTACAAACCTATTTGAAAAGACTATTTAGCTGTTTGTTTTAATTAATGATAAAAATTAATCCCGAGATAATCAGGTCTATATTAGTAATGGCTAAATGGTTAAATGTTACATCAAAAATTCGTCATAGATGACAATCAATAAATATAAAACTTTCTCTCTTCATTTCATCATTCTTTTTTGTTGATTACTATGGCGACTTTTGCAGAAATATTTTCACATAAATCGACTTCACCAGCTATTATTATTCCAGAGAGTGGGCTAGAACTATCATATAGACAATTATATGAACAAATTAAATCGGTTCAACAACAAATTATTGAGAAATGTGATATAAAACCACAAGATGCTATCACTATTGTATTACCAAATTCATTAGAATTTACAATTACTTTTCTAGCGCTTACGTTACTTCGAAATATTGCAGCACCATTAAATCCAAATTATGCCGAAAATGAATTTAAATTTTATATAGATGATTCAAAAAGTAAAGTAATGATAGTACCAAAAGGTTGGGTAAACCAAAATAAACCTGCAGTTCGGGCTGCCAGGGCTTTTAATGCGGTAATTTTTGAAATATCATGGGATAACCATAGTCATCAAATCAATTTGGATATTCATGGAAATGCAAAAGGAGGAAATTTTAAAACCCGAGATCCTCATCCCCCTGATGTCGCTCTTTTATTACATACATCAGGAACGACTGGACGACCCAAAGGTGAATTTAATTATTAATGGAACTATAAATGTTTGATTTTATATTATTAATAAATAATAAATAAATGAAATTTAGGTGTTCCACTTACGCATCGTAATATTACAACAACCATGAATAATATTATCCGAACATATAAATTGGTTCCAAGCGATCGTACCTTGCTAGTAATGCCACTCTTTCATGTTCATGGTTTAATTGGTGGAATGTTATCCACTTTATTATCAGGAGGAACGGTAGTAATTCCTCCTAAATTCTCTGCCACCGATTTTTGGAATCACTTTTTACAATACGGATGTACTTGGTACACCGCCGGTAAGGAAAAAATTATAATATTTTAAAAGGAACTGGAAAAGCATCTAACCTATTCTTTTTATCAAATACCAATCTTAATATAAAGTCCCTACAATTCATCAAATTTTATTGCGTCATCCGCCTCCAAGCGGAGGGGCACCTAAATTACGCTTTATCCGTTCATGTTCTTCATCGCTTGCTCCAAGTACCTTAAAGGAACTTGAAAAAGTATATAATGCGCCCGTACTGGAAGCGTATGCTATGACTGAAGCAGCTCACCAAATGACCTCAAATCCATTGCCACCTTTGCCTCATAAGCCTGGTTCAGTCGGTGTAGGTCAGGGAGTTCAAATAGCTATCTTGGATCAAAATGGCAATCCGACTGAGGAGGGCGAAGTGTGTATTAAAGGTGTGAATGTGACACCAGGATATCTTAATAATCCATCAGCTAATAAATCATCATTTACAAAAGACGGGTGGTTTAGAACAGGTGATCAAGGTAAACTAGATAAAGATGGATATTTATATTTAACGGGACGTATTAAAGAATTAATCAATCGTGGTGGAGAAAAAATTTCGCCTTTAGAAATAGATTCAGTTCTTTTATCACATCCTTCGATTTCCGAAGCTGTTTCTTTTGCTGTACCTGATGAAATGTATGGACAAGAAGTTCATGCTGCCGTTATTTTGAAGAAGGATCAGCAAACTACTGAAAAAGAATTACAAGATTATTGTGAAAAAAATCTTGTTAAATTTAAAATACCAAAGAAAATCTATTTTACTGATGTTATGCCTAAAACTGCTACGGGTAAAATCCAAAGAAAAAATATAAGTGAAACATTCTTTAAACCTGATAAATCAAAAGCAAAATTGTAATTTTATTATTTTCTGATTAAAATGATATTGATTTTATATACTAATGAATAAAGATAAATATACTATACTGTATTATAATTTAACATTAGCATTAATAAACAGAAAGTTGGCAGAGCATTACAAGTATATCATATAAACGGCTGTTAAGCCGAAAAAAATGCGCTCAATAAATTATCGCGTGCACATTCTTCTTCTACCAATCTTTTGTCGGTTTCAACATTTTCGGTCCATTTGATTAATGTTGGAATGGATTTTAATTGAATTCTTGGATGAAGCCTATAAGGATTATCAGGTCTGCCCTTATATCTAGATTTATTTATTTATTTTTTTTGAATTTCGGTTAAAAATAATATTAAATCGGAAACTTTTAATTTTATACCTCATAAATTACTTACTCTTCTCTTGTTCCAACAGGAACTTCAATTAATACGGAATTAACAGGCGCATCTTCTTCAAGATGTTTACGGATTAAAGGATCAGCTAAGAAAATTATTCAAAATTAATTATGGGCCGAAAAAAAAAGCATTTCTAAATTTACCTTTTACACAATCTGGACACCACGATTTTCCGGTATCTGGATTTTCAGTACCTTTTTTTATAAAAAGTAAAATATTAGTTATGCCAATAAAGGCATATTTTTACAGCAAAAACAAGTGACATGATACAGTTTTAATTTAAAAATATATACACATACATATGCATATATATATATTTTCTTACCGAATAAAAGGACAAAAATGTTTTGTCCTTTGCGTTCTTGAACAATTTTATTAACAGTTCCGTCAAATTCATCATAAGCCGAAATTCGTATAGTATGAACCATCTTATTTATTTTTCAAGAAAAACCCACTAACGTTTTAAATATGAAATGGTGAAATTTTTAAATGACAATGACAAATTATACGGTTAAGTGATTAACAATGAAGTTCCACATAAATTTTAGTGGAAATACATTACACAAATCTCCAACTTACAACACGCGTTTAAGCCATTATTTACTAAAAAAAAAAGAATTCGCTTTTTTAATTAAAATTCTCTCCTTATTTGGAAATCGATAATAGTAGAAATAGGTCACAATGCCTAAAATAATCAAAGTCGGAATTAAGAAGTTTATTTGTTTTACGCGTTTATAATATTTTATCTGAAGAAAAGTCTTTTAAATGTGTATCTCCTTTTATATTAGCTTTAAATAAAAATTTAGAGAATAGGATAACCCATGTTTCGGACTTTAAGGCAAAAAAAGACCGGCTAAAGATTGTTCTGAAAGTCTTTGTATAGAGCATCCGGTCTTTATAAGTTATAATAACACATACGAAGAACTTGTTTTAACTCCGCGATCCTAATCATCAAACCATCAATGGGAGACAATGACAATAATGACAATGGATTGATCAATAACAAAAGTAAATGACCGGAGTCCGGACTTAATCCAAAGGGTTTCGTGACACAAATCATAAATGCATTATTCTGACTGCATAATCGTCATAATCGTCATATATAATTACCGTAATTACCGTGAAGTTATCGTCCCTAAAACTTTTACAACCTTTATGACGAATGACTTAATAAACATTATAAAAAGTTCTGAAATATCAGTAAATAATTATTCCCTAAAGATCTATGAGCAAGAAATTCAATATTTCGTTTTAAAACAATTTATATAATATGGAAATTATTAAAAATAATTTCCACGAACTTTTCCCCATCGTCCAAGAAGCTATTGAAGGAGCCGATTTTATAGCTATTGACACTGAGTTGACTGGTGCGCAATAAATTAAATAAATTATTAGTTGTCGATAATAATTTATCTTTGTTAAAACGCGACTTTCTTTTATTATAATAGGCTTGAACGAAAGCATTGAGAGAATAAAAACTTTCGATGATCCACAGTCAAGATATACAAAAGTTCGAATTGCTGCTACAAAAGTATGTGATTTCTCAATTTTTTTTTTCGCCTTTATAATATTGAATGGTATATAAGAAATTATAACAGTAAGATTTGTCATATTTTTAGTTTCTTATAATTCAATTCGGGATATGTACTTTTACATACTCGGAAGCGGAGAATACTTTTATAGCAAGACCATTCAACTTTTATATATTTCCAGCGAACTCCGATAGGAAGGATTACCATGATATATGTTTTATGTGTAGTGGATCCAGTTTACATTTTTTATCAAATTGCGGATTTGACTTCAATAAATTAATCGCACAAGGTACGAAATATAAAAACCATCAATTATCCATTTATGCGTTGTAATTTGATTTAACAAAATGTAATATTATTACAATTTGTATAATCTTATAATGTAAACTATAAAGGTATACCATTTCTTAATAAAACGGATGAAATTAAGCTTATACAAAGAAGAGCTGACATTGCACAAAGGCAAATTGGTAATTAATCGAATTATCCTATCAAATACCTTCGATCATTTAATTGATATTTATCTCATTTGTAGACAACCCGCTGGATAATGAAACAAAAGCATTCGTAGAAAAAACTATGTAAGTCAATACTTTGACATTCTTTCCAATTAGAATCTTTGGATGTGAATTTTCTTACTTTAAATTGGGAAATCAAAACGAAAGGTCAACTATTGATAAATGGCTTTGCGATACGAATGAAGAAAATTTAACAGTGGAAACTCCTAGTATGAAACAGAAACGTTTGGTCTTTCAGGAATACAGGCAAAGGTTTCGTCATATTCTTAAATAATATACATATTTAATCTTTTTCAGAGTATTCATTTTTTATTATTAAAATATAGATTCAGTGGTCTCGCGTCGGCAGAGAGCAGACCAAAAAGCGTTTTTTTCTCACGAATGACAGAACAACAAAAGGAAAAAAAATCAAAGGATGATGCGGCTGATGTATGTTTAATATTAGAATTTTAGATTTTGTGAATCTAATATTTTATCGTTCATTAATTTTAATTATCATTTTTTTATTTAGGCTTTGTCTGCTAGCTTAAATTTTCGTAGCATTATTGAACTGTTAGTAACATCTAAAAAACCCATCATTGGTCATAATTGCTTTTTAGATATGTGCCAGTTGATACATCAATTCTGGGAGGAATTACCTGAAAAATTAAAGATATGGAAAAAGCTCGTAAACGAGTTGTTTGAAGTGTGAGTTGATAGATATCAAACAGGATTTTGAAGTTGGAAATTATTGCTAATTTTCTTTCTCTAAATTCTAGCGTTATTGATACCAAACATATAGCAGCTACCCATAGAAGATTACAGGTAATTTCAATTCGTAACTAGTATATATAATGGTAGAATAATATATATAATAAAATGCCATATAATATTTAACTTAATATCAGGAGTTGATGCCTAAAAATGGAGTTCAGGCTATTTTAGATATTGTACAAACACCACCTTTTGAAGAAGATTCCCCGAAAATTGGTTGAAAAAAATTGGCCTTTTTATTTTTAGTTTATTATTAGATAATATTTTTTTGTTCATTTCGCTAATATCTGTACAATAATTTACAGTCCTAGATCCACAATTCACTCGTTATACACTAAACGATATATCGCATAATCATGAGGCTGGATATGATGCATACATTACCGGATACAATTTTATAAGATTAGCAGTATTCTTGTTAAATGAAAAAGGTAAGCTTAAAACATCCTACAAATTTGAAATATTCTCTAATTAATGTAGTAACTTTTGAAAAAAGAGCAAGATGTAGATATATACTCTAACGTTTTCAATGAATTATCGGAATATACTGACGATTCAATGAAGCAGGGACATGAATACATTGATGAAGAAAATACGAATTTGGTTACAAAGTTATTTAAGACCGAGAAATTAACGCGTTTTTATAATAAATTACATTTGTTGAGATCTGATTTTAAATATATATGTCTAGATGGCAATGATGGAAGTAAGTGTTCGAGAGAATTTTTAAAAAAAGCATATATTAGTATTTTATTTTAATTCGTTTAATTATTTTCACATATATAGTCCCGCCTTCTAAATCAAACGGATTTTTGTTATCAAATATTCCTACGTCTTGTTCACAGGCGATTCTTCATACAATATTTGGTGAGTTTGGCAACATATTCATTCAATGGATTGATGATACTCATTGTTGGCTAATAGTTAAAGATGATAAGAAAGTCAGAAAAGTTTCTGAAGGTTTATTACGTGATACCAAGTTATTTTCAGACTATATGGAGAATGGGAAAAAATATCAGATAGCTCTGGAAAAGAATATAACAAAAGAGATAGGAAACATCAAGATACTATCTTGGAATAATTGGATAAGTGCAATAGTGAATGCCGATTCAGAGATTGAAGAGGAACAAGATCAAGAGGATGAGGATAAAATAGTTAACGGTGAGTCTTGAATTTTTTTTCATTTTAATTTAACCTTTACATGTTTTCATGCTATATCCATTTGTATTTAGATGTAAATGATGAGCCAAGTAGTACTACAATTGAAGGGATAGAATTTGAATTCGGAAATAAATACGAAACACCTAAAGATGACGATAATTCATGGCCAAACTCGAATGATAATAACTCTGATAAATCTGATGAAAATACAGAAGACATTCAGGGTAATTGGGGCATTTCCCCATTAAATGATTCAGACATATCAACTTCAAGTACTAAACGCACGTCGCCACATATTGCAGTAAACGATAATAGCGATGATGCTAGTACAAGTAGTGCTTCTAAGAAGACTAAACTTGGGTAAGGTTATTTATTGTAAAATACAGCCCTTTAAAAAGCTTATTTCAAATAAAAAAAATATATATTTTATTATATTTTTTAATAATACTGACTTAATTCATAAATGTTTATGATGATTTAAACCTTTTTGTGAATTTTTCAAAATTCGGGATATATAGAACCTTTGAATATCTACGTTCCCTTTTACCTTTTTCTACCTGACAAACCAAAACTCTTCAAGGTTATCCTCCATGGGGATTTATTGTACACACCTTTTAAGAAACAGAGTATTGCTTGCATTATTTTATGTCCAAATTACTTATTTGTATTTACTATTTTAGTATTTATAGTATTTATTAGTAGTCTATATATAGTCTATAATAGACTAATATTATTTAATACTTTCAATAAAAATTATGAAATACATATTTTTCGTGAAGCGTTCCTTTTATGCTTTTTTGATGCTACACAGATCATACATCAAATCGGACCGATCAGCATGCATACATTGATAATCGTAAACTTAACTTAATCATTATGTGATGAATTATGAATTGTATGCGCCGTGAAATTTTATTATAAGGTAATAAGATAAAATTTTTACTCATTGATTAAGCAGACAAATTTGTCACTTTTCTGTACTTTCTGTAATATATATATGTATATTCCGGTTATTATTATTTTTTTTTTTCCTTCTTAAACAAAATACATTTTAATTTTTAGGACGAAAAAGCCGAGAAACGATAATCTGTTATTACTCTCAAATAGAAGAAGCGAACATTATTAATATTTGATTAATAATAATTAATTATTTTTTTTTTTAGAAAATTACTTTTTTATCGAAAAACGTCAGTATTCCTAAAACTAGAATTATCTTTCAAAGCATCGTTGTGTGTTTTATATTCCATAATAGTTTCGGAGGGTAAATTCAAAACCCTCTTCATGGTATCTCTAAGGAAATAAAAAAAAAGAAAGTTAATTAAAAATAAATCAAAAAAAAAAAAACTTAACTATCCGAAACAAAACCTTATTTTTAAATTAATTCTTCCTTCGTGCGCTGACTGATTCCACAGGGACAAGATGTCCTCCGAACTGCGGATGGACAGCACCGCACCGCAAATTTCCGTACCAACATCAAATTGGTCTCCAATTACCGCCATTACCTATTTCAAGGATTTCATAGTAAGTTAATACAATAATTTAATAATATTATCGAGAAATCAAAATTATATTAGCTTACCAAGCTCTCCCAATATCGACTTGCCAAACCTTTCTTTAACCTTACAATCCATTTACCTCCATTAATATTTGTATCATCCTATTAAGGAAAAATAAATAATAAATAAAAATAAAATAAATAAAAACAATTTTATATCTGTTTTTATAAAAAAAGATTATAATTAATTTTAAATCATATAATATCTTTTTATTTTATTTTATTTTTTTTTTGATTTTAATATGAAAATTTTTTGTCATGATAACTAGATATTTATTAATACAAAAAAAATAAAATAAAATAAACACGAACCTCCCAAACAGGTCTAACTCCTTGTTTAAAGAGATGATAATCGCTAATATTAGGTAACTCATGAGGTCTTCGAAGATGACTATAAACCGCCCAGAAATCCTCTATCTAAAAAAAAAATTCAAAATACTTAATAAACGATTAATTAAGCAAAAAAAGAACAAAGTAATTGAAGTATAAAAAAAAAAAATAAAAAAATCCATACTAGATTTCGATAGACTCACCGAAGAAAATGCTGCAATCTTTTTCATAGAACTCTCGTAATTTAGTATTTTGCTCCCAGGATTACGATGCATAAACCAGAATACCCAAGTAAAATGCAATGGATGAATCTCACTAGTAGGACTCGGTGTGAACTGTTGACGCGTCAATACCAGGCCATTACTATTATTTCCATTTTCTTTTTCTTTATTATCTTTATCTTCTCCTACACCCGAAATACTCATACGTTTAGCAAGATAACTGCTCCCGCTGCTACTATTACTCAAACCAGAACCCATTCCCAGGGGCGTTGTCGGTGCTAGAAGAACAGTGGAAGCAGCCATACTGGCAGTAACTCCATTTGGTGAATTTGTGCGTTGAAGTTGGATGAGTTTTGTTGAGGATGTTGAAGTTGGGGTTATTGCTGTAGGAGTTGTGGTTGTGGTGGTTGCAGAATTATGGTCAGTGTTAACAGTTAAACGGTTGCTAATTTATAAATTATTAGGAAAGATTTAATTTATATTTAGTAATCTATCTCTTTATTAATATATAAAGGAAATCTTTTTTTGATCAGAAATAAAAAAAAAAATCTACTACTAAAATCTCTTTATACCTGCGCTTCCAAACAGATTCCATTCCTAATTTTAATTTTTCTATATTACTTTAAAGTTTATTTAAAGGAAAAAGTCAAATTATTCAGAAATGTATTTTGTTAGAAAAAAAAAAATAATAATAAATTACAGTTTTTTTAGAGTTGTAAAATTAAGCAAAAAAAAAAAAAAAAAAATTTCCGAAAAATCAAATTACAATTCAGTCTTTCCATCCATCTTCATTCATTATGACCTTTTGCCTCACATTGTGTGAGGTAAGACTAATATTTTATTGGTTGAATTGATTTGGATTATTATACAACATCGCGCGTCATCACTTTTTGCACAAACCTTTTGGATTTTATTCATTTGTTGGTTACAAAAGGATCAAAGTGGGATCATCCAAAAATCAAAAAAAAACAAACAGTAAAATTGTTATAATTCAAGATTTTTTATCCTGACATAATAATTATAATTTATAACCTTATAAACTTTACACTGACCCACATAATTAACTAATTAACTGTGAAAATCTTTTTATTTAATGAACCGGATTTAAAAATTAATAATATAATGGAAGTTCAACAATTAGATGTGTGTAATCCATTTTAGGAAATTCATCACCGAATTATTTGATATTGAATTATCAAATCAGGAACAGATCATAGGGTCTGTGGTATATAACATAAAATTTATCTTCTTTTTATTACACAACTTTTTTCTTCTTTTATAATTTGCATCCTTGAGTTTGTTTCCATTCGGGCGCTTTTAGTAAATGGCCAGGGGAAAACAAAAGGTATGCAGTCATATTTATTTTTATAATACTTTATTAAGGTTATAAATAATTATGTACACCTTTCCCTAAACTAAACTTTGTTTATAGGAACAAGCAAGGTGGGTTTAGGTTATTTGCCATAATTTACCTTATTAAGAGTTCATTAATTAATATTTTCTCATATTTATTAATAACTTATTATTAAATATTTTTTAGAGAAAAGGCTCAGAAACAAGCCGAAAATAGACAAGGAGGTAAATCTCAATTGGGTGCTCGTGCTGCGGGTTTGCAACTAAAATGTCCCGTTTGTAAAGTAAGAAGTACATTTTAGCAACAAAACATTAAAGTATTTTATTTAAGCCTATAAAATATATAATTTATAAAATATTTTTTTTTTGATCAGACTCCTGTAGCTAATTATAAAATCATTGTCCAACATATGGAGGTAAATCACACTATAAAGAAAATTTTACAAAAAAAAAAAAAAAAAAAAAATTTTTAATCTTCACCTTTATTTTCTTTTAAACTATTAGGCAAAACATCCTAAAGAAACTATCCCACCTGAAAAAGATTTTCAATGAAATCTATATCAGCAGTTGATCATCTTTTACTAACTCATTTTTATAGCTTACTTATTTTAACGAATCCTCCGAGTCTTTCTCTTTCTTGGAGATCAAAAAAAAAAAAATAATTGTTAGAAAAAAAAATTATTTTGGAATAGGGTGAGACTCGGAGGGTATTTTTTATTTTGAATTTTCTTTTTTTTTTCCTCGTGTAGTAGTACTTTTTTTTTCATGTGAAAAATGATGTAATTATTATTATGTATAATTGTTTATTGTATTTATGTTTTTATCTGATTGATGTTCTTTACGAAAAAAAATAAAGGTAAAATATTTTAGTTCAAAAGCGAAATTTATTTTAAATATTTTAACTACTATATATAATATATAAAAAAAAAATTAAATGCTGATATATATAAATATATATAAATAATGATTTATAGCACCGCTTTTAACGAAGTTGATTCCTTGGTGTAGTTGGTTATCACGTCAGCCTAACACGCTGAAGGTCGCCAGTTCGAACCTGGCAGGAATCAAAATATTTTTTTTTCTCTTGAAAATTTTTTGAAGTGTAACGTGATAATCATATGTACATCATTTCTGACATTTTTGACCAATCGAAAAAGTGCACAGTAATATTTGACTATGTAATTAAATAAGTAGATATTTATAGAATTCATATTTACCAAAAAAAAATGTAATGATTTAGCCGAGTGATAACCTGATTTTTATTATACAGTATAAACGAATAATTTATATAAACAATTATCACGTGATAGCAATCAAAAAACGAAAACTGGCGCGGGGCACGGGCTTTTTTAATCGGCGTAAATTTTTCGTTCTGATAAAATTTTGCATATGATAAATTTCATATGAATTACTAATTTTAGAAGTTGGATAATAAAGAACTCCATACTATGCTACTAAACTCCCTAAGCTCCCTTTGATTCAGTTACACAAGTTTTCCGAATCCATGGAAAAAGGTTGATCGGTCGCGCAGCAATAAGTTATAAATTTAAAATGTGATACTGACAATCAAAAGATACAGGAATTATCATGTTCGGCTAATTATTGCGACGTTGTACTGAACTTAAAGTTCAATCTTCCTCTGCAAATTGTAACATTTAAGATTAGATTGCGAAAGAAGTGCTATTGAAACAATGTCTGGTCAGGTACAATGGAAAGCAGATTTTGTCTTACCACCAAGAGATTTACCCCAAACTCCGAGCCACCCGCCTCAACCGTTTTGAGAAAAAAAAGAATATCACATGATCATTTTCCTAAATTTAAATAAATGCAAATCATTGTTTTCTATGTTAGTACGAAAACACTCGCCCCGAATCTAAAAAAAAATTTTTTTTTTTCCAATTCTGCCTTAAATTCTTTTCTTCCCTTTTTAATCATAGCCCCTTTCTTCCTCCCACATATTTCATATTCTTTCGATAATTGTAATTTTATTTCATTATAGAAAAAAAAAATTTTTTTTAATTAAAGATTTGCTTTGTTTCCCATATAGAGTTATATATTTTTTTTATTTTTCATCGTTTTTTTTTTCTGAAAAGATCTTTATAAACAAAACATAATAAATAAACTTAACGACCATTATATAAATTATTCTATAACATATTTGGATAATTTCTTTGTTTGTACAATAACTCGTAAGTCTTTGGTTTTATATATTTTTTTTTTTCCTTAGCCATATTTTTTTTCGCTGACCGTTACCCCGCACTCCGGCTATACTTTATAAAGTAACATATAGACATTAAAATAACTAGAGCTATTTTGTACCCAGAAAAAAATTTTTTCGCCATAAAAAAAAAAAAAACTTCGCCACTTGAGCCGCCACTCATATCTATTGAACAAGCTTCATTTATATCTTATATCCCTTTTTTTTTTCTTTTAGTCTTTACTTATTTATAGGATTTAATTGACTCTTACAATAACCTTACAATTCTCAATATTCTCAATAACTATCAATGCCTGTATTCTCAAACCCCGTTATCCCTGCAACAACGAGCACCATCAACAATAATAGTTTGCCGGACAAATGTATGTGTGTCGATGGAGTTTGTCGAGATCCTTCACACAAACACTATGCTGAACAACAAAAAAAACAACAAGAACAATTAAGGCAACAACAACTGTTGCAAAAGAGAAAGCGACGTCTTTCTCTTACAACGGAAATTTCATCAGTTAGATTATTACCAACCACAACTTGTTCACTTTACTCCGGTTCAAAGTTCAGAGGTGAACAACGAAGTGGTAGAAGCAGCTATGACGTCTCCGTTCATATTCAGGTAAAAAAAATTTATTTTACGAAAGATCATCGATGTATTAACATATGAAATTAGATCAGAAATTGCGAGAAAAAAAAAAAATCTTAATTTTTGGAGGAATGAAAATTAAACTTGGGTCAAGAAAAAAAAAAAATTTATGATGATTATAATAATTTCAATACAAAATTCTTGTCGGATTGACGAAATAAAAGCGATCATTACGATAGATTTCAATTTAGAAAAGATTTTTATCGACGAAAATTTTCCATAACTAATTAAAAAAAAATTTTTTTTAGCATGTTGATCTTTCAGAATCATTCTTGTGCGGATATCTTCATATTCAAGGGCTTACCGAGGACTATCCTGAGTTGACTACATTCTTTGAGGCGGAAATTATTGGCAGAAAATATTCATTTCTTACCAAGAAATGGGACGCCGATGACAAAGTAGATATACAACATTGGGTATGATGATTTTTTAAAATTATTAAAAAAAAAAATATTATTTTGATTATAGCTTTATTGATTTCGTTATTCTTGTAAATACGGACTTTTTGATTCATTGAAACAATTATACAGACTCGTTTCCCGGCTTTTCGCCCCCTTAAAAGTCATATGAAAAATGACGGATTTGTTTATGACTTTCATAATAAAGATTTCATCTTTATGAGATGGAAAGAACATTTTCTTGTACCTGATCATCGTGTTAGAACTATTAATGGTGCTAGTTTTGCTGGATTCTATTATATCTGTTACCAACTAAGTACAGGGATGATTACAGGATTTTATTTCCATAAAAGTTCGGAGCGGTATGTTTTTTTTTTTTGATTGAAGGAATGGGATGAATAGATTGATGTTGGAATTACTTGATTTGAAGGGTTCAGGGTAATGTTTTGGCTGATCATTCGTAGATCCTAACAATATTTTTTTGCTTCTTATACAGATTCCAAGAATTAAAATTACGTCATTGTCCGGACAATAATTCTTTTCCTTCATTTGAATTTCGATGAAAAAAGACCAAAATATTAATAAATTAATAATTATTCCTTTCTCAACTACAAGAAAAAAAAAATATTTTGTATTTTATTACAAGGTAGCAAAACAGAAAAAAAAAGAAAAAAGAAAAAAAAAATAATAATAAAGTATTTTTAATCCTTTTTATTTTGATCTCTAGACGAAAAAAAAACATTTCCCTCTTTTAAAAAACTATTTTTTCTAATTTACATCTAAGGCTTCTGTTTTGCTAGAAATAAGCTTGCGGTATGAGATTTATTTGCGGGGGAATTGATGTAGTTTTTTGATGATTTTTATTTTGATTGATTTTTTTTTATTTATTTTATATGTTATATACAAACTTTTTTTAACTTTTTATACTCTAATCATTTCCCCCACATCATATTCTTTCCTGCACAAATAAAAAATTTTTATATTGTATATTGTATTTATTTATCATTACTTGATGATAAGAAATTTTTTTCTATTTATGATTTTTTATCTTTCTTACCATTTTGTATTTAAAAATTTATATATATATAACTCACATTAACACATTATTATATATAGGACAAACTGAGAAGAGATTATTTATTTATATATTTATTATTATTATTTTAAGTTATTTATTATTTATATATTGAGAAAAGAATAATTATTTTTTATAGTAATTATTTTTGGTTTTTTTGATCGAAGGAAGTATATATTATATATTATTATTATTATTATATCCAAAAAATTATAACAAAAATTATATGAACTTTTTTTTTTTTTTTTT